CGGAAGACGACGTTCTTGAGGTCGAAGGGATATTCGATGATTCCTGTGGTCGGGACGCGGACTCGGAGGACGTCCTGCTCTGTCGGAACGTAGTCCGGAGCGGAGACACGGGACAGCGCGTCCAGGTAGCTGTGGAGACACGCGGAGACACGCGGAGACACGTGGAGACACGCGGAGACAAGCGGAGACACGGTGAGACACGGTGAGATAGAGACGCAGGGAGACACGGTGAGATAGAGAGACACGGGGAGACACGGGGAGACACGGGACAGCGCGTCCATGTAGCTGTGGAGACACGCGGAGACAAGCGGAGACACGGTGAGACACGGGGAGACACGGTGAGATACGGTGAGATAGAGAGACACGGGGAGACACGAGACAGTACGTCCAGGTAGCTGTGGGGACACGCGGAAGAAACGTGGAGACACGGGGAGACACGGGGAGACACGGTGAGATAGAGAGACACGGGGAGACACGGTGAGATAGAGAGAGACAGAGAGACACGGTGAGATAGAGACATGTGGAGAGACACGGTGAGATAGAGACACGGGGAGACACGGTGAGACACGGGAGACACGGTGAGATAGCGAGACACGGGGAGACACTGTGAGATAGAGACAGAGACACGGGGAGATAGAGAGAGACACAGAGAGACACGGAGAGACACGGAGAGACACGGGGAGATAGAGAGAGACACAGGGAGAGACACGGTGAGATAGAGACACAGAGAGACACGGTGAGATAGAGAGACACGGGGAGACACGGTGAGATAGAGAGACACAGAGAGACACGGAGATAGAGAGACAGGGAGAGACACGGGGAGATGGAGAGACACGGGGAGAGACGGTGAGATAGAGAGACACAGAGAGACACGGTGAGATAGAGAGATATGGGGAGACACGGTGAGATAGAGAGACACGGGGAGACACGGTGAGATAGAGAGACACGGTGAGATAGAGAGACACAGAGAGACACGGTGAGATAGAGAGACATGGGGAGACACGGTGAGATAGAGAGACACGGGGAGACATGGTGAGATAGAGAGACACGGTGAGATAGAGAGACACAGAGAGACACGGTGAGATAGAGAGACATGGGGAGACACGGTGAGATAGAGAGACACAGAGAGACACGGTGAGATAGAGAGACACGGGGAGACACGGTGAGATAGAGAGACACGGTGAGATAGAGAGACACAGAGAGACACGGTGAGATAGAGAGACACAGAGAGACACGGTGAGATAGAGAGACATGGGGAGACACGGTGAGATAGAGAGACACAGAGAGACACGGTGAGATAGAGAGACACAGAGAGACACGGTGAGATAGAGAGACATGGGGAGACACGGTGAGATAGAGAGACAGGGAGAGACACGGGGAGATGGAGAGACACGGTGAGATAGAGACACGGGGAGATAGAGAGACAGGGAGAGACACGGTGAGATAGAGAGACACAGTGAGATAGAGAGACAGGGAGACACGGTGAGATAGAGAGACAGGGAGACACGGTGAGATAGAGAGACAGGGAGACACGGTGAGATAAAGACATGCGGAGAGACACGGTGAGACACGGGGAGACACGGTGAGATAGAGAAAGACACAGGGAGAGACACGGTGAGATAGACACAGAGAGACACGGGGAGATAGAGAGACACAGAGAGACACGGTGAGATAGAGAGAAACTGGAACTCTCTACGGCGTGAGAAACACTTCACAACTCCTCCATCAGCCCAGAGACACACAGAGACACACAGAGACACACACAGAGACACAGACACACACAGAGACACACAGAGACACACACAGAGACACACACAGAGACACACAGAGACAGAGACACAGAGAGAGACACAGAGACACACAGAGACACACAGAGACACACAGAGACACACACAGAGACACACACAGAGACAGAGACACACAGAGACACACAGAGAGACACAGACACACAGAGACACACACCGAGCGAGACGCACACAGAGACACCGAGCGAGACACACAGAGACACAGACACACACAGAGACACACAGAGAGACAGACAACACATCTCACTATTTGGCCGAGTCAGAGATCTGGAACTCTCTACGGCGTGAGAAACACTTCACAACTCATCCATCGGCCCAGAGACACACAGAGACACACAGAGACACACAGACACACAGACACACACAGAGACACACAGAGACACACACAGACACACAGAGACACACAGACACACAGAGACACACAGACACACAGAGACACACAGACACACAGAGACACACAGAGACACAGATACACACAGAGACACACAGAGACACACAGAGACAGAGACACACAGAGACACACAGAGACAGAGACACACACAGAGACACACAGAGACAGAGACACACAGAGACAGAGACAGAGACACACAGAGACAGAGACACACACAGAGACACACACAGAGACACACACAGAGACACACAGAGACAGAGACACACAGACACACACAGAGACACAGACAGACACAAGAGAGACAATCTCACTATTTGGCCGAGTCAGAGATCTGGAACTCTCTACGGCGTGAGAAACACTTCACAACTCCTCCATCAGCCCAGAGACACACAGAGACACAGAGACACAAAGAGACAGAGACACACAGAGACACACAGAGACACACAGAGTCACACAGAGACACACACACAGAGAGACACAGACAGAGACAGAGAGACTATCTCACTATTTGGCCGAGTCAGAGATCTGGAACTCTCTACGGCGTGAGAAACACTTCACAACTCATCCATCAGCCCAGAGACACAGAGAGAGACACAGACACACACAGACACACACAGACACACACAGAGACACACACAGAGACACACACAGAGACACAGACAGAGAGACACACAGACACACACAGACAGAGACAGAGAGAGACTATCTCACTATTCGGCCGAGTCAGAGATCTGGAACTCTCTATGGCGTGAGAAACTTCACAACTCCTCCATCAGCCCAGAGACACACAGAGAGACACACACAGACACACACAGAGACACACAGATACACAGAGACACAGAGAGACACAGACACACAGAGGGACACACACACACAGACACAGACACACACAGACAGAGACAGAGAGACAATCTCACTATTTGGCCGAGTCAGAGATCTGGAACTCTCTACGGCGTGAGAAACACTTCAACACTCCTCCATCAGCCCAGAGACACACAGAGACACACAGAGACACACAGGGAGACACAGAGACACAGACACACACAGAGACACAGACAGACACAGAGAGAGACTGTCTCACTATTTGGCCGAGTCAGAGATCTGGAATTCTCTACGGCGTGAGAAACACTTCACAACTCCTCCATCAGCCCAGAGACACACAGAGACACACAGAGACACACAGGGAGACACAGAGACACAGACACACACAGAGACACAGACAGAGACAGAGAGACTGTCTCACTATTTGGCCGAGTCAGAGATCTGGAACTCTCTACGGCGTGAGAAACACTTCACAACTCATCCATCAGCCAGAGACACACAGAGACAGAGACACACAGAGACACACAGAGACACACAGAGACACACAGAGACACACAGAGACACACAGAGGACACAGACACACACAGACACACACAGAGACACACACAGACAGAGACGAGAGAGACAGAGAGAGACACAGAGACACACAGAGACACAGATAGACACAGAGACAGAGAGAGACACAGACACAACAGAGACACACACAGAGACAGAGAGACTGTCTCACTATTTGGCCGAGTCAGAGATCTGGAATTCTCTATGGCGTGAGAAACACTTCACAACTCATCCATCAGCCCAGAGACACACAGAGACACACAGAGACACACAGAGACACAGACACACACAGACACACACAGAGACACACACAGACAGAGACAGAGAGACACAGAGACACACAGAGACACAGAGAGACACAGAGACAGAGAGAGACACAGAGACACACAGAGACACACACACAGAGACAGAGAGACTGTCTCACTATTTCGCCGAGTCAGAGACACACAGAGACACACAGAGACACACACAGACACACAGAGAGACACAGAGACACACACAGAGACAATCTCACTATTTGGCCGAGTCAGAGATCTGGAACTCTCTACGGCGTGAGAAACACTTCACAACTCATCCATCAGCCCAGAGACACACAGAGACACACAGAGAGACACAGACACACAGAGACACAGAGACACAGAGACACACACACAGACACACAGAGACACACACAGAGAGACTATCTCACTATTTGGCCGAGTCAGAGATCTGGAATTCTCTACGGCGTGAGAAACACTTCACAACTCATCCATCAGCCCAGAGACACACAGAGACAGGACACACAGAGACACACAGAGACACACAGAGACACACAGAGACACAGACACACACGACACACACAGAGACACACACAGACAGAGACAGAGAGACAGAGAGAGACACAGAGACACACAGAGACATAGAGAGACACAGAGACAGAGAGAGACACAGAGACACACAGAGACACACACACAGAGACAGAGAGACTGTCTCACTATTTGGCCGAGTCAGAGATCTGGAATTCTCTACGGCGTGAGAAACACTTCACAACTCATCCATCAGCCCAGAGACGCACAGAGACACACACAGAGACACACAGATACAGAGACACACACAGAGACACAGAGACAGAGAGACTATCTCACTATTTGGCCGAGTCAGAGATCTGGAATTCTCTACGGCGTGAGAAACACTTCACAACTCATCCATCAGCCCAGAGACACACAGAGACACACAGAGACACACACAGAGACACACAGACACACAGAGAGACACAGAGACACACACAGAGACACCAGAGACACAGAGACACACACACAGACACACAGAGAGACAGAGAGACTGTCTCACTATTTGGCCGAGTCAGAGATCTGGAATTCTCTACGGCGTGAGAAACACTTCACAACTCATCCATCAGCCCAGAGACACACAGAGACATACAGCGACACACAGAGACACACACAGAGACACACACAGAGACACAGACAGACACAGAGAGAGACTGTCTCACTATTTGGCCGAGTCAGAGATCTGGAACTCTCTACGGCGTGAGAAACACTTCACAACTCATCCATCCAGCCCAGAGACACACAGAGACACACAGAGACACACAGAGACACACACAGAGACACACAGAGACACACAGAGACACAGAGACACACAGAGACACACAGAGACACAGACAGACACAGAGAGAGACTGTCTCACTATTTGGCCGAGTCAGAGATCTGGGAATTCTCTACCGGCGTGAGAAACACTTCACAACTCATCCATCAGCCCAGAGACACACAGAGACACAGAGACACACAGACACACACAGACACACACAGACACACACAGACACACACAGACACACACAGACACAGACACACACAGACAGAGACAGAGAGACAATCTCACTATTTGGCCGAGTCAGAGATCTGGAATTCTCTACGGCGTGACAAACACTTCACAACTCATCCATCAGCCCAGAGACACACACAGACACACAGAGAGACACAGACACACAGAGACACACAGAGACACAGAGACACACAGAGACACACACAGACACACAGAGACACACAGAGAGAGATTATCTCACTATTTGGCCGAGTCAGAGATCTGGAATTCTCTACGGCGTGAGAAACACTTCAACACTCCTCCATCGGCCCAGAGAGAGGCGACAGCGGCCACTTCGCGCGGCCCAAGGGATCGAACCGCCTCCACGTCCAGAGATGTCACCGTGAGCACGTGCACCTGGGGGGGAGATGGGGGGAGATGGGGGGAGATGAGAGGGGATGCGAGTGAGTGGGTGAGTGAGTGAGTGAGTGGGTGAGTGAGTGGGTGAGTGAGTGAGTGGGTGAGTGGGTGAGTGAGTGAGTGAGTGGGTGGGTGGGTGAGTGAGTGGATGGGTGAGTGAGTGGGTGAGTGGGTGGGTGAGTGGGTTAGTGGTGAGTGAGTAGGTGGGTGAGTAGGTGAGTGAGTGGGTGAGTGAGTGAGTGGGTGAGTGAGTGAGTGGGTGAGTGGGTGAGAGAGTGGGTGGATGGGTGAGTGAGTGAGTGAGTGGGTGGGTGAGTGAGTGGGTGGGTGAGTGGGTGCGTGAGTGAGTGGGTGGGTGAGTGAGTGAGTGGGTGGGTGGGTGAGTAGGTGGGTGAGTGGGTGAGTGAGTGGGTGAGTGAGTGGTGAGTGAGTGAGTAGGTGGGTGAGTGAGTGGGTGTGTCAGTGAGTGAGTGGGTGAGTGGGTGAGTGAGTGGGTGAGTGAGTGGGTGGGTGAGTAAGTGAGTGAGTGAGTGGGTGGGTGTGTGAGTGGGTGAGTGAGTGGGTGAGTGGGTGAGTGGGTGGGTGGGTAAGTGAGTGGATGGGTAAGTGAGTGGGGTGAGTGAGTGAGTGGGTTAGTGGTGAGTGAGTGATGTAGTGGGTGAGTGAGTGAATGAGTGAAAGATTGATTGAGTGAGTGATTGAGTGAGTGATTGATTGAGTGAGTGATTGATTGAGTGAGTGATTGATTGAGTGAGTGAGTGGGTGAGTGGGTGAGTGAGTGGGTGAGTGAGTGGGTGAGTGAGTGAGTGGGTGAGTGAGTGGGTGGGTGAGTGGGTGAGAGAGTGGGTGGATGGGTGAGTGAGTGAGTGGGTGGGTGAGTGGGTGGGTGAGTGAGTGGGTGAGTGGGTGAGTGAGTGGGTGAGTCAGTGGTGAGTGGGTGAGTGGGTGAGTGAGTGAGTGAGTGGGTGAGTGGGTGAGTGAGTGGGTGGGTGAGGGAGTGAGTGGGTGGGTGAGTGAGTGGGTGGGTGGGTGGGTGAGTGGGTGGGTAAGTGAGTGAGTGGTTGGGTGAGTGAGTGAGTGGGTGAGTGGGTGAGTGAGTGGTGAGTGAGTGAGTAGGTGGTGGGTGAGTGGGTGAGTGAGTGGGTGGGTAAGTGAGTGGGTGAGTGAGTGAGTGGGTTAGTGGTGAGTGAGTGAGTAGGTGGGTGAGTGAGTGAATGAGTGAAAGATTGATTGAGTGAGTGATTGATCGAGTGAGTGATTGATCGAGTGAGTGATTGAGTGGGTGAGTGGGTGGGTGAGTGAGTGAGTGGGTGAGTGAGTGAGTGGTGGGTGAGTGGGTGGTGAGTGAGTGAGTAGGTGGGTGAGTGAGTGGGTGTGTGAGTGAGTGAGTGGGTGAGTAGGTGAGTGAGTGGGTGAGTAAGTGAGTGGGTGAGTGGGTGAGTGAGTGGGTGGGTGTGTGAGTGAGTGGGTGAGTGGGTGAGTGAGTGGGTGGGTGTGTGAGTGAGTGGGTGAGTGGGTGAGTGGGTGAGTGAGTGGGTGAGTGAGTGAGTCGGTGGGTCAGTGAGTGGGTGAGTGAGTCAGTGAGTGGGTGAGTCAGTGAGTCAGTGGGTGTGTGGGTGGGTGGGTGAGTGAGTGGGTGAGTGAGTCAGTGGGTGAGTGAGTGAGTGGGTGGGTGGGTGAGTGGGTGGGTGGGTGAGTGGGTGGTGGGTGAGTGGGTGGGTCAGTGATTGAGTGGATAGGTGAATGAATGAGTGGGTGAATGAATGAGTGGGTGAATGAGTGGTTGAGTGAGTGAGTGAATCAGTGGGTGGGTGATTGAGTCGGTGGGTGGGTGAGTGATTGACTGGGTGAGTGGGTGGGTGGGTGAGTGAGTGAGTTGGTGGGTCAGTGAGTGAGTGGGTGAATGAGTGGTTGAGTGGGTGAGTGAGTCAGTGGGTGGGTGATTGAGTTGGTGGGTGAGTGAGTGGGTGGGTGGATGGGGTGAGTGGGTGGGTGAGTGAGTGGGTGAGTGAGTGAGTGAGTGGGTGGGTGAGTGAGTGAGTGAGTGGGTGAGTGGGTGAATGAGTGGGTGAGTGGGTGGGTGTATGAGTGAGTGGGTGAGTGAGTGGGTGGGTGTGTGAGTGAGTGGGTGAGTGGGTGAGTGAGTGGGTGGGTGTGTGAGTGAGTGGGTGAGTGAGTGGGTGAGTGAGTGGGTGGGTGGGTAAGTGAGTGGGTGAGTGAGTGGGTTAGTGGTGAGTGAGTGAGTAGGTGGGTGAGTGAGTGAATGAGTGAAAGATTGATTGAGTGAGTGATTGATTGAGTGAGTGGGTGAGTGATTGAGTGGGTGAGTGGGTGGGTGGGTGGGTGGATGAGTGAGTGGGTGGGTGAGTGAGTGAGTGGGTGGGTTAGTGAGTGAGTGAGTGGGTGAGTGAGTGGGTGAGTGAGTGAGTGGGTGAGTGAGTGAGTGAGTGGGTGAGTGAGTGAGTGAGTGGGTGGGTGAGTGAGTCAGTGAGTGAGTCAGTGAGTCAGTGAGTGGGTGAGTGAGTCAGTGAGTGGGTGAGTGAGTGAGTCAGTGGGTGGGTGGGTGAGTGAGTGGGTGAGTGAGTCAGTGGGTGAGTGAGTGAGTGGGTGAGTGAGTGAGTGGGTGGGTGAGTGATTGGGTGAGTGGGTGAGTGAGTCGGTGAGTGATTGAATGAGTGGGTGGGTGGATGAGTGAGTGGGTGCGTGAGTGAGTGGGTGAGTGAGTGAGTGAATGGGTGGGTTAGTGAGTGGGTGAGTGAGTGAGTGAGTGGGTGGGTGAGTGAGTGGGTGAGTGAGTGAGTGGGTGAGTGAGTGAGTAAGTGGGTGGGTTAGTGAGTGGGTGAGTGGGTGAGTGAGTGAGTGAGTGGGTGGGTGAGTGAGTGGGTGAGTGAGTGGGTGAGTGAGTGAGTGGGTGAGTGAGTGAGTGGGTGAGTGAGTGGGTGAGTGGGTGGGTGGGTGAGTAAGTGGGTGAGTGGGTGAGTGAGTGGGTAAGGGATTGGGTGAGTGAGTGGGTGGGTGAGTGAGTGGGTGAGTGAGTGAGTCAGTCAGTGAGTCAGTGAGTGGGTGAGTGAGTCAGTGAGTGGGTGAGTGAGTGAGTCAGTGGGTGTGTGGGGTGGGTGGGTGAGTGAGTGGGTGAGTGAGTCAGTGGGTGAGTGAGTGAGTCAGTGGGTGAGTGAGTGAGTGGGTGGGTGAGTGATTGGGTGGGTGAGTGGGTGGGTGGGTGAGTGGGTGGGTGGGTGAGTGGGTGGGTCAGTGATTGAGTGGATAGGTGAATGAATGAGTGGGTGACTGAATGAGTGGGTGAATGAGTGTTGAGTGAGTGATTGAGTCAGTGGGTGGGTGATTGAGTCGGTAGGTGGGTGAGTGATTGACTGGGTGAGTGGGTGGGTGGGTGGGTGAGTGAGTGAGTTGGTGGGTCAGTGAGTGAGTGGGTGAGTGGGTGAGTGAGTGGGTGAGTGAGTGGGTGAGTGTGTGGGTGGGTGGGTGGGTGAGTGAGTGGGTGAGTGAGTGGGTGGGTGGGTGGGTGAGTGGGTGGGTGGGTGAGTGTGTGGGTGGGTGGGTGAGTGGGTGGGTGGGTGAGTGATTCATTGAGTGGTTGAGTGAGTGAGTGAGTGGTTGGGTCAGTGAGTAATTCATTGAGTGGGTAGGTGGGTGAGTAAGTGAGTGAGTGATTGGGTGGTTGAGTGATTGAGTGAGTGGGTGAGTGAGTCGGTGAGTGATTGAATGAGTGAGTGATTGAGTGAGTGAATGAGTGATTGAGTGAGTGAGTTGTTGAGTGAGTCAGTGAGTGAATGAGTGAGTGAGTGATTGAGTGAATGATTGATGGAGTGAGTGATTGAGTGAGTGATTGAGTGAGTGAGTCGTTGAGTGAGTGAGTGGTTGAGTGAGTGAGTGAGTGATTGAGTGAGTGCGTGATTGAGTGAGTAAGTGAGTCGTTGAGTAAGTGAGTGATTGATTGATTGAGTGAGTGAATGAGTGAGTGAGTCGCTGAGTGAATGAGTGAGTGAGTGTATAAGTGATTGAGTGTATGAGTGATTGATTGAGTGATTGAGTGATTGAGTGAATGAGTCGGTGATTGAGTGAGTGAGTGATTGTATGGCTAGGGGTAAGGGTGAACGCTATCCACCTCATTGTCTGGGTTCCCATAGTTGATCTTCAGCGTGGCCATGCCTCTGATCAAGGCCTGCATGGCCGTGACGATGTTCTGATGGATGAGCTTCGTGAACTCTGGGAATCATCAGCAGCACCGGGATAATCGTCAGGACACGGGCACTACAGGTGATGTTGATGTTGGTTTTACTACAGGTGATGATGAAGTTGGTACTACTACAGATGATGTTGATGTTGGTGTTACTACAGGTGATGATGATGTTGGTGTTACTACAGGTGATGATGATGATGTTGATGTTGGTGCTACTACAGGTGATGATGATGTTGGTACTACTACAGATGATGTTGATGTTGGTGTTACTACAGGTGATGATGATGATGTTGATGTTGGTGTTACTACAGGTGATGATGATGTTGATGTTGGTGTTACTCCAGGTGATGATGATGTTGGTACTACTACAGATGATGTTGATGTTGGTGTTACTACAGGTGATGATGATGTTGATGTTGGTGCTACTACAGGTGATGTTGATGTTGGTACTACTACAGATGATGTTGATGTTTGTGTTACTACAGGTGATGATGATGATGTTGATGTTGGTGTTACTCCAGGTGATGATGATGTTGATGTTGGTGCTACTACAGGTGATGATGATGTTGGTGTTGGTGCTACTACAGGTGATGATGATGTTGATGTTGGTGCTACTACAGGTGATGATGATGTTGGTGTTACTCCAGGTGATGATGATGTTGATGTTGGTGCTACTACAGGTGATGATGATGTTGATGTTGGTACTACTACAGGTGATGATGATGTTGATGTTGGTGTTACTACAGGTGATGATGATGTTGATGTTGGTACTACTACAGGTGATGATGATGTTGGTGTTGGTGTTACTACAGGTGATGTTGATGTTGGTGCTACTACAGGTGATGTTGATGTTGGTGTTACTACAGGTGATGATGATGTTGATGTTGGTGCTACTACAGATGATGATGATGATGTTGATGTTGGTGTCACTACAGGTGATGATGATGATGATGTTGGTGTTGGTGCTACTACAGGTGATGATGATGTTGATGTTGGTGCTACTACAGGTGATGTTGATGTTGGTGCTACTACAGGTGATGATGATGTTGGTGTTACTCCAGGTGATGATGATGTTGATGTTGGTGCTACTACAGGTGATGATGATGTTGATGTTGGTACTACTACAGGTGATGATGATGTTGATGTTGGTGTTACTACAGATGATGATGATGTTGGTACTACTACAGGTGATGATGATGATGTTGGTGTTGGTGTTACTACAGGTGATGATGATGATGATGTTGGTACTACTACAGGTGATGATGATGTTGATGTTGGTACTACTACAGGTGATGATGATGTTGATGTTGGTGTTACTACAGGTGATGATGATGTTGGTGTCACTACAGGTGATGATGATGATGATGTTGGTGTCACTACAGGTGATGATGATGATGATGTTGGTGCTACTACAGGTGATGATGATGATGATGTTGGTGCTACTACAGGTGATGATGATGTTGATGTTGGTACTACTACAGGTGATGATGATGTTGGTGTTGGTGCTACTACAGGTGATGATGATGTTGATGTTGGTGCTACTACAGGTGATGATGATGTTGGTGTTGGTGCTACTACAGGTGATGATGATGTTGATGTTGGTGCTACTACAGATGATGATGATGTTGGTACTACTACAGGTGATGATGATGATGATGTTGGTGTTACTACAGGTGATGATGATGTTGATGTCGGTGTTACTACAGGTGATGATGATGTTGGTGTTGGTACTACTACAGGTGATGATGATGATGATGTTGGTGTCACTACAGGTGATGATGATGATGATGTTGGTACTACTACAGGTGATGATGATGTTGATGTTGGTGTTACTACAGGTGATGATGATGTTGGTACTACTACAGGTGATGATGATGTTGGTACTACTACAGGTGATGATGATGATGTTGGTGTTGGTGTTACTACAGGTGATGATGATGTTGGTACTACTACAGGTGATGATGATGTTGGTGTTGGTGTCACTACAGGTGATGATGATGTTGATGTTGGTGCTACTACAGGTGATGATGATGATGTTGATGTTGGTACTACTACAGGTGATGATGATGATGTTGATGTTGGTGCTACTACAGGTGATGATGATGATGATGTTGGTGTTACTACAGGTGATGATGATGTTGATGTTGGTACTACTACAGGTGATGATGATGATGTTGATGTTGGTGCTACTACAGGTGATGATGATGATGATGTTGGTGTTACTACAGATGATGATGATGTTGGTACTACTACAGGTGATGATGATGATGTTGGTGTTGGTGTTTCTACAGGTGATGATGATGTTGATGTTGGTGCTACTACAGGTAATGATGATGATGATGATGATGTTGGTACTACTACAGGTGATGATGATGTTGGTGTTGGTGCTACTACAGGTGATGATGATGTTGGTGTTGGTGCTACTACAGGTGATGATGGTGTTGGTGTTGGTGCTACTACAGGTGATGATGATGTTGGTGTTGGTACTACTACAGGTGATGATGATGATGTTGGTACTACTACAGGTGATGATGATGTTGGTACTACTACAGGTGATGATGATGATGATGTTTGTACTACTACAGGTGATGATGATGATGTTGGTGTTACTACAGGTGATGATGATGATGTTGATGTTGGTGCTACTACAGGTGATGATGATGATGATGTTGGTGTTACTACAGGTGATGATGATGTTGATGTTGGTACTACTACAGGTGATGATGATGATGTTGATGTTGGTGCTACTACAGGTGATGATGATGTTGATGTTGGTACTACTACAGGTGATGATGATGTTGGTGTTGGTGTTACTACAGGTGATGATGATGATGATGTTGGTGCTACTACAGGTGATGATGATGTTGATGTTGGTGTTACTACAGGTGATGATGATGTTGATGTTGGTACTACTACAGGTGATGATGATGTTGATGTTGGTACTACTACAGGTGATGATGATGTTGGTACTACTACAGGTGATGATGATGATGTTGGTGTTGGTGTTACTACAGGTGATGATGATGTTGATGTTGGTACTACTACAGGTGATGATGATGTTGATGTTGGTGCTACTACAGATGATGATGATGATGTTGATGTTGGTGTCACTACAGGTGATGATGATGATGATGTTGGTGTCACTACAGGTGATGATGATGTTGATGTTGGTGCTACTACAGGTGATGATGATGATGATGTTGGTGCTACTACAGGTGATGATGATGATGATGTTGGTGTGACTACAGGTGATGATGATGTTGATGTTGGTACTACTACAGGTGATGATGATGTTGGTGTTGGTACTACTACAGGTGATGATGATGATGATGATGTTGGTGCTACTACAGGTGATGATGATGCTGATGATGTTGGTGCTACTACAGGTGATGATGATGCTGATGATGATGTTAGTGCTACTACAGGTGATGATGATGTTGATGTTGGTACTACTACAGGTGATGATGATGTTGATGTTGGTGCTACTACAGGTGATGATGATGTTGATGTTGGTGCTACTACAGGTGATGATGATGTTGATGTTACTACAGGTGATGATGATGTTGATGTTGGTGCTACTACAGGTGATGATGATGTTGGTGTTACTACAGGTGATGATGATGTTGGTGTTGGTGTCACTACAGGTGATGATGATGTTGATGTTGGTGCTACTACAGGTGATGATGATGTTGGTGTTGGTACTACTACAGGTGATGATGATGTTGGTACTACTACAGGTGATGATGATGTTGATGTTGGTGTTACTACAGGTGATGATGATGTTGGTGTTGGTGCTACTACAGGTGATGATGATGTTGGTGTTGGTACTACTACAGGTGATGATGGTGTTGGTGTTGGTGTTACTACAGGTGATGATGATGTTGGTACTACTACAGGTGATGATGGTGTTGGTGTTGGTGTTACTACAGGTGATGATGATGTTGGTGCTACTACAGGTGATGATGATGTTGGTGCTACTACAGGTGATGATGATGTTGGTGCTACTACAGGTGATGATGATGATGATGTTGGTACTACTACAGGTGATGATGATGTTGATGTTGGTGTTGGTGCTACTACAGGTGATGATGATGATGATGTTGGTGCTACTACAGGTGATGATGATGTTGATGTTGGTACTACTACAGGTGATGATGATGTTGGTGTTGGTACTACTACAGGTGATGATGATGATGTTGGTGTTACTACAGGTGATGATGATGTTGGTGTTACTACAGGTGATGATGATGATGTTGGTGGTACTACAGGTGATGATGATGTTGGTGTTACTACAGGTGATGATGATGTTGATGTTGGTACTACTACAGATGATGATGTTGGTGTTGGTGCTACTACAGGTGATGATGATGTTGATGTTGGTGCTACTACAGGTGATGATGATGTTGGTGTTGGTGTTACTACAGGTGATGATGATGTTGGTACTACTACAGGTGATGATGATGTTGATGTTGGTACTACTACAGGTGATGATGATGTTGATGTTGGTGTTACTACAGGTGATGATGATGTTGGTGTTGGTACTACTACAGGTGATGATGATGTTGATGTTGGTGTTACTACAGGTGATGATGATGTTGATGTTGGTGTTACTACAGGTGATGATGATGTTGATGTTGGTGTTACTACAGGTGATGATGATGTTGATGTTGGTACTACTACAGGTGATGATGATGATGATGTTGGTACTACTACAGGTGATGATGATGTTGATGTTGGTGTTACTACAGGTGATGATGATGTTGGTGTTGGTACTACTACAGGTGATGTTGGTGTTGGTGCTACTACAGGTGATGATGATGTTGGTGTTGGTACTACTACAGGTGATGTTGGTGTTGGTGCTACTACAGGTGATGTTGATGTTGGTGTTGGTGCTACTACAGGTGATGATGATGTCGGTGCTACTACAGGTGATGATGATGTTGATGTTGGTGCTACTACAGGTGATGATGATGTTGATGTTGGTGCTACTACAGGTGATGATGATGTTGATGTTGGTGCTACTACAGGTGATGATGATGTTGATGTTGGTGCTACTACAGGTGATGATGATGTTGATGTTGGTACTACTACAGGTGATGATGATGTTGATGTTGGTTCTACTACAGGTGATGATGATGTTGATGTTGGTGCTACTACAGGTGATGATGATGATGATGATGTTGGTGCTACTACAGGTGATGATGATGTTGGTGTTACTCCAGGTGATGATGATGTTGGTGTTGGTGCTACTACAGGTGATGATGATGTTGATGTTGGTGCTACTACAGGTGATGATGATGTTGGTGTTGGTGTTACTACAGGTGATGATGATGTTGGTGTTACTACAGGTGATGATGATGATGATGTTGGTGCTACTACAGGTGATGATGGTGTTGGTGTTGGTGTTACTACAGGTGATGATGATGTTGATGTTGGTGCTACTACAGGTGATGATGATGTTGGTGTTGGTGCTACTACAGGTGATGATGATGTTGGTGTTGGTGTTACTCCAGGTGATGATGATGTTGATGCTACTACAGGTGATGATGATGTTGGTACTACTACAGGTGATGATGATGATGATGTTGGTACTACTACAGGTGATGATGATGTTGATGTTGGTGTTACTCCAGGTGATGATGATGATGATGTTGATGTTGGTGTTACTCCAGGTGATGATGATGATGATGTTGATGTTGGTACTACTACAGGTGATGATGATGTTGGTGTTGGTGCTACTACAGGTGATGATGATGTTGGTGTTACTACAGGTGATGATGATGATGATGTTGGTACTACTACAGGTGATGATGATGATGATGTTGGTACTACTACAGGTGATGATGATGTTGATGTTGGTGCTACTACAGGTGATGATGATGATGCTACTACAGGTGATGATGATGTTGGTGTTGGTACTACTACAGGTGATGATGATGTTGGTGTTGGTGCTACTACAGGTGATGATGATGTTGATGTTGGTGCTACTACAGGTGATGATGATGTTGGTGTTGGTGCTACTACAGGTGATGATGATGTTGGTGTTGGTGCTACTACAGGTAATGATGATGATGATGTTGATGTTACTACAGGTGATGATGATGTTGATGTTGGTGCTACTACAGGTGATGATGATGTTGGTGTTGGTGTTACTACAGGTGATGATGATGTTGGTGTTGGTACTACTACAGGTGATGATGATGTTGATGTTGGTGTTACTACAGGTGATGATGATGATGCTACTACAGGTGATGATGATGTTGGTGTTGGTACTACTACAGGTGATGTTGGTGTTGGTGCTACTACAGGTGATGATGATGTTGATGTTGGTGTTACTACAGGTGATGATGATGTTGGTACTACTACAGGTGATGATGATGTTGGTGCTACTACAGGTGATGATGATGTTGATGTTGGTACTACTACAGGTGATGATGGTGTTGGTACTACTACAGGTGATGATGATGTTGATGTTGGTACTACTACAGGTGATGATGATGTTGATGTTGGTGCTACTACAGGTGATGATGATGTTGGTACTACTACAGGTGATGATGATGTTGGTGCTACTACAGGTGATGATGATGATGATGTTGGTGCTACTACAGGTGATGATGATGATGATGTTGGTACTACTACAGGTGATGATGATGATGATGTTGGTACTACTACAGGTGATGATGATGATGATGTTGGTGTTACTACAGGTGATGATGATGTTGATGTTGGTACTACTACAGGTGATGATGATGTTGGTGTTACTACAGGTGATGATGATGTTGATGTTGGTGCTACTATAGGTGATGATGATGTTGGTGTTGGTACTACTACAGATGATGATGATGTTGATGTTGGTGCTACTATAGGTGATGATGATGTTGGTGTTGGTGTTACTACAGGTGATGATGATGTTGGTACTACTACAGGTGATGATGATGATGATGTTGGTGTTACTACAGGTGATGATGATGTTGGTACTACTACAGGTGATGATGATGTTGGTGCTACTACAGGTGATGATGATGCTACTACTGATGATGGTACTACTACTGATGATGGTGGTACTACTACTGATGATGATGATACTACTGATGATGACACTACTGATGATGAGGATGCTACTACTACTGATGATGGAACTTCTACTACTGATGATGGTACTACTACTACTGATGATATTACTACTGATGATACTACTACTATGGGTGATGTTGATACTACTACTACTGATGATACTGCTCCTGATGATGATGATACTACTACTGATACTACTACTGATGATGGTACTACTGCTGGTCATGGTACTACTACTGATATTACTACTACTGATGGTTCTACTACTGGTGATGATGGTACTACTACTGATGGTACTACTACTGATGATGATAGTACTGATGATGATGGTACTACTGCTGATGATGATGGTACTACTAGTGGTACTACTACTACTGAAGGTACTACTACTGATGATGATGGTACTACTGATGATGGTGCTACTACTACTGATGATGATGATACTACTACTGGTACTACTACTGATGGTACTACTGGTGATGATGCTACTACTACTGATGGTACTACTACTGGTGATGATGGTACTACTACTGATGATGGTACTACTACTGATGGTACTACTACTGGTGGTACTACTACTGATGGTACTACTACTGATGATGGTACTACTATTACTGATGATGGTACTACTACTGATGGTACTACTGATGATGGTACTACTACTGATGATGGTACTACTATTACTGATGATGGTACTACTACTGATGGTACTACTGATGATGGTACTACTACTGATGGTACTACTACTGATGGTACTACTACTGATGGTGATGATACTACTGCTGATGATGGTACTACTACTGATGATGATGGTACTACTACTGATGATGATGGTACTACTAATGATGATGATGGTACTACTAATGATGATGATGATGGTACTACTGATGATGATGATGGTACTACTACTGATGGTACTACTACTGATGATGGTACTACTACTGATGGTACTACTACTGATGATGGTACTACTACTACTGATGATGGTACTACTACTGATGATGGTCCTACTATTGATGATGATGGTACTACTGATGGTACTACTACTACTGATATTACTACTACTGATGGTACTACTACTGGTGATGATGGTACTACTACTGATGGTACTACTACTGATGATGGTACTACTACTGATGATGGTACTACTACTGATGGTACTACTACTGATGATGGTACTACTACTACTGATGATGGTACTACTACTGATGATGGTCCTACTATTGATGATGATGGTACTACTGATGGTACTACTACTACTGATATTACTACTACTGATGGTACTACTACTGGTGATGATGGTACTACTACTGATGGTACTACTACTGATGATGGTACTACTACTGATGATGGTACTACTACTGATGGTACTACTACTGATGATGGTACTACTACTGATGGTACTATTACTACTGATGGTACTACTACTGATGGTACTACTACTGATGGTACTACTACTGGTGGTACTATTACTACTGATGGTACTACTACTGATGGTACTACTACTGATGATGGTACTACTACTACTGATGATGGTGCTACTACTGATGATGATGGTACTACTACTGATGATGGTACTACTACTGATGATGGTACTACTGATGGTACTACTACTGATGATGGTACTACTACTGATGATGGTACTACTACTGATGGTACTACTACTACTGATGGTACTACTACTGATGGTACTACTACTGATGATGGTACTACTACTGATGATGGTACTACTGATGGTACTACTACTGATGATGGTACTACTACTGATGGTACTACTACTGATGGTACTACTACTACTGATGGTACTACTACTGATGGTACTACTACTGATGATGGTACTACTACTGATGGTACTACTACTACTGATGGTACTACTACTACTGATGGTACTACTACTGATGGTACTACTACTACTGATGGTACTACTACTGGTGGTACTACTACTGATGAAGGTACTACTACTGATGATGGTACTCACCCCTACGATCGTTCTCCGTGTAGCCCCTGCCGTGGATGATCCTCATCTGCTTGATGAAGGTACTCTTACCGCTCTCACCAGTACCTGCGGTAGCAGCCAATCAGAGAGCAGCATCACCAGCAGCCCTACTACTACTACACTACTACACTACCACTACTACCACTACTACTACACTACCACTACCACACTACTACTACTACACTACTACTACTACACTACCACTACTACTACTACCACACTACCCCTACTGCTACCACCACTACTACCACTACTACTACACTACTACTACCACTACTACTACACTACTACCACTACTACTACACTACTACTACACTACTACCACTACTACTACACTACTACTACCACTACTACTACACTACTACTACACTACTACTACCACTACTACTACCACTACTACACTACTACTACACTACTACCACTACTACACTACTACCACTACGACTACACTACTACTACACTACCACACTACTACTACTACACTACTACTACTACTCCTACCACACTACTACTACTACTACCACACTACTACCACTACCACTACTACCACTACTACTACTACCACACTACCCCTACTACTACCAGCACTACTACTACCACAGTACCACTACTAATACTACTACCACACTACCACCACTACACTACCACACTACTACTACTACCACTACCAAACTACTACCACTACCACACTACCACACTACTACTACCACCACTACTACTACTACCACACTACCACTACTACCACACTACTACTACTACTACCACTAAAACACTACAACTACTACCACTACTACCACCACTACTACTACCACACTACCACTACTACCACACTACTACTACCACTACTACTACCACTACCACACTACTACTACCACACTACTACTACCACTAATACCACTACTACTATTACTACTACTACTACCACACTACCACTACTACCACACTACTACTACCACTACCACACTACTACTACCACTACTACTACCACACTACCACTACTACCACACTACTACCACTACTACTACCACTACTACTACCACACTACCACCACTACTACTACTACCACAGTACCACTACTACTACCACTACTTCTACTACCACTACCACACAACCACACTACTACTACTACTACCACTACTACTACTACTACCACAGTACCACTACTACCACTACTCCTACTACACTACTACACTACCACTACTACTACCACAGTACCACTACTACTACCACTACTTCTACTACCACTACCAAACTACTACTACTACCACTACCACACTACTACTACCACTACTACTACCACACTACTACTACCACACTACTACACTACTACCACTACTACCACTACTACACCACTACCACTACTACCACTACTACCACTACTACTACCACTACCACACTACTACTACCACACTACCACTACTACACTACCACTACACACTACCACTACTACCACACTACCACTACCACATTACCACTACTACTACCACTACTACTACCACACTACTACTACCCTACCACTACTACTGCACTACCACACTACTACTACCACTACTACCACTACTACTACTACCCTACCACACTACTACTACCACTACTACTACCACTGCTGCTACTACTACACTACTACTACACTACCACACTACTACCACTACTACTACCACTGCTACTACTACACTACTACTACTACACTACCACTACTACTGCCACTACTACTACCACTACTACCACTACTACTACTACCACTACTACCACCACTACTACTACTACCACTACTACTACCACTCCTACTACTACCACTACTACTGCTGCTACTACCACTACTGCTACTACCACTGCTACTACCACTACTGCTACTGGTACTACTACCACTACTACTACCACTACTACCACCACTGCAACTACTACCACAACTACTACCACTACTACCACTGCTACCACTGCTACTACCACCAGTACTACTACTACTACCACTAATACTACTACTACTACCACTACTACCACCACTACTACTACTACCACTTTCTACACTACTACTACTACCACCACTACCACCACTACCACCACTACTACTACTACCACCACTACCACCACCACTAACACCACCACTACCACCACTACTACCACCACCACTACCACTACTACCACCACTATTCAACTACTCCTACTACTACCACTACTACTACCACTACTAACACCACTACTACCACTACTACTACCACTACAACACTACTACTATCACACTACTACTACTACCACACTACTACCACTACTACTACCACACTACTACTACCACACTACTACACTACTACCACTACTACCACTACTACACCACTACCACTACTACCACTACTACTACCACTACCACACTACTACTACCACACTACCACTACTACACTACCACTACACACTACCACTACTACCACACTACCACTACCACATTACCACTACTACTACCACTACTACTACCCTACCACTACTACTACACTACCACACTACTACTACTACTACCACTACTACTACCACTGCTACTACTACACTACTACTACACTACCACACTACTACCACTACTACTACCACTGCTACTACTACACTACTACTGCTACACTACCACTACTACTACCACTACTACCACTACTACTACTACCACCACTACTACTACTACTACTACCACTCCTACCACTACTACTGCTGCTACTACCACTACTGCTACTACCACTACTACTACCACTACTGCTACTGGTACTACTACCACTACTACTACCACTACTACCACCACTACTACTACTACCACTACTACCACTACTACTACCACAACTACTACCACTACTACCACTACTACCACTGCTACCACTGCTACTACCACCACTACTACTACTACCACTAATACTACTACCACTACTACTACCACTACTACCACCACTACTACTACTACCACTTTCTACACTACTACTACTACCACCACCACTACTACTACCACTACTACTACTACTACCACTACCACCACCACTAACACCACCACTACCACCACTACTACTACCAACACTACTACCACCACCACTACCACCACTACTACTACCACCACTACTACCACTACTCCTACTACTACCACTACTACTACCACTACTACCACCACTACTACCACTACTACTACCACTACAACACTACTACTATCACACTACTACTACACTACCACTACACACTACTACACTACCACTACTACCACACTACCACATTACCACTACTACCACCACTACCACCACTACTACTACCACCACTACTACTACCACTACTGCTACTACTACCACCACTACTACACTACTACCACCACTACTACTACCACTACTACTACTACCACCACTACTACTACTGGCACCACTACTACTACTACCACTAGTACTACTACTACCACTACTACCACCACTACTACCACCACTACTACCACTACTACTACACTACCACCACTACCACCACTACTACTACCACCACTTCTACTACCACTAGTACTACTACTACCACCACTACTACCACCACTACTACCACTTCTACCACTACTACCACTACTACTACCACTACTACTACCACTAGTACTACTACGACTACCACCACTACCACCACTACTACCACCACTACTACCACTGCTACCACCACCACTGCCACCACTACCACCACCACTACCACCACTACTAGCACCACTACTACCACCCCTACTACTACTACCACTAGTACTACTACTACGACCACTACCACCACTACTACCACCACTACTACCACTACTACTACCACCACTACTACCATTACTACCACTACTACCACCACTACTACCACCACTACTACCACCACCACTACTTTCTACTGCCACCACTACCACCACTACTACCACCACTACTACCACCACCACTACCACCACCACTACCACCACTACCACCACTACCACAACTACCACCACTACTACCACCACTACCACCACTACCACCACTACTACCACCACTACCACCACTACCACTACTACCACTACTACTACCACCACTACCACCACTACTACCACCACTACTACCACCACTACTACCACCACTACCACCACTACTACCACTACTACCACCACTATTACTACCACTACTACCACCACTACTACCACCACCACTACTACTACTGCCACCACTACCACCACTACTACCACCACTACCACCACTACTACCACCACTACCACCACTACTACCACCACTACTACCACCACTACTACCACCACTACTACCACCACTACCACTACTACTACCACCACTACCACCTCTACTACCACCACTACCACCACTACTACTACCACCACTACTACCACCACTACAACTACTACTACTACCACCACTACCACCACCACTACCATCACTACTACTACTACCACCACTGCTACCACTACTACCACCACTACCACCACTACTACCACCACTACCATCACTACTAATACTACCACCACTACCACCACCACTACCACCACTACCACCACCACTACCACCACTACTACCACTACTACTACCACCACCACCACCACTACCACCACTACCACCACCACTACTACCACCACTACCACCACCACTACCACCACTACCACCACCACTACCACCACCACTACCACCACCACTACCACCACTACTGCCACCACTACTGCCACCACTACCACCACCACTACCACCACCACTACCACAACTACCTCTGCCACTCCATCTCAATGGGGGCTCACAGCTGATGCTTTCATAAAGTGGTGGGCAGCGCGGCTAATAGCATGCAAATTCATGCAAATGACATGCTGATTTATGCAAATTTATACAGCGGAATCGATTTTTATAGTATCGATTATGACAAACCCAGCCCTGAACGATTCGATTCCAATAAAAAGCAATGCTCTAGGAATCGATTCTCTGTGTTGTAGGGTGGGGATCGTGGGAATCGATATGCAAATACTGAGCACATGCACACAGCTCCCCGACGTAGCCTCTAAAGGCTGCAGCGCCAAGTGCAGCGGTAGCAGCAGAAGTGACAGACAACTTACCACTCACCCACTCACTCACCCACTCACCTAGTCACCCACTCACTCACCCACTCACCCACTCACTCACCCACTCACTCACCTAGTCACTCACCTAACCACTCACCCACTCACCCACTCACCTAGTCACTCACCCACTCACCCACTCACTCACCCACTCACTCACCCACTCACTCACCCACTCACCTAGTCACCCACTCACTCACCCACTCACCCACTCACTCACCCACTCACTCACCTAGTCACTCACCTAGTCACTTACCTAACCACTCACCCACTCACTCACCCACTCACCTAGTCACTCACCCACTCACCCACTCACTCACCCACTCACTCACCCACTCACCCACTCACCTAGTCACCCACTCACTCACCCACTCACCCACTCACTCACCTAGTCACTCACCTAGTCACTCACCTAACCACTCACCCACTCACTCACCCACTCACCCACTCACTCACCCACTCACTCACTCACCCACTCACCTAGTCACCCACTCACCCACTCACTCACCCACTCACTCACCCACTCACCTAGTCACTCACCTAGCCACTCACCTAGTCACTCACCCACTCGCTCACCTAGTCACTCACTCACCTAGTCACTCACCCACTCACTCACCTAGTCACCCACTCACTCACCTAACCACTCACCCACTCACTCACCCACTCACTCACCTAGTCACTCACCTAGTCACTCACTCACTCACTCACCTAGTCACCCACCTAGTCACTCAATCAATCACAAAACCTAGTCACTCACCTAATCACTCACCCAGCCACTCACCCACTCACTCACCTAATCACTCACCCACTCACTCACCTAGTCACTCACCTAGTCACTCACCTAATCACTCACCTAATCACTCACCCAGCCACTCACCTAGTCACTCACCCACTCACTCACCTAGTCACTCACCTAGTCACTCACCTAGTCACTCACCCACTCACTCACCTAGTCACTCACTCACCTAGTCACTCACCCACTCACTCACCTAGTCACTCACCTAGTCACTCACCTAGTCAGTGACCTAGTCACTCACCCACTCACTCACCCACTCACCTAGTCACTCACCTAGTCACTCACCTAGTCACTCACCCAGTCACTCACCCACTCACTCACCCAGTCACTCACCTAGTCACTCACCTAGTCACTCACCCACTCACTCACCCACTCACTCACCTAGTCACTCACTCACCTAGTCACTCACCCACTCACTCACCTAGTCACTCACCCACTCACTGACCTAACCACTCACCCACTCACTCACCCACTCACTCACCTAGTCACTCACCTAGTCACTCACCTAATCACTCACTCACCTAGTCACCCACCTAGTCACTCAATCAATCACAAAACCTAGTCACTCACATAATCACTCACCCAGCCACTCACCCACTCACTCACCTAGTCACTCACCTAGTCACTCACCTAGTCACTCACCCACTCACTCACCTAGTCACTCACTCACCTAGTCACTCACCCACTCACTCACCTAGTCACTCACCTAGTCACTCACCTAGTCAGTGACCTAGTCACTCACCCACTCACTCACCCACTCACCTAGTCACTCACCTAGTCACTCACCTAGTCACTCACCCACTCACTCACCCAGTCACTCACCTAGTCACTCACCTAGTCACTCACCCACTCACTCACCCACTCACTCACCTAGTCACTCACTCACCTAGTCACTCACCCACTCACTCACCTAGTCACTCACCCACTCACTGACCTAACCACTCACCCACTCACTCACCCACTCACTCACCTAGTCACTCACCTAGTCACTCACCTAATCACTCACTCACCTAGTCACCCACCTAGTCACTCAATCAATCACAAAACCTAGTCACTCACATAATCACTCACCCAGCCACTCACCCACTCACTCACCTAATCACTCACCCACTCACTCACCTAGTCACTCACCTAGTCACTCACCTAATCACTCACTCACCTAATCACTCACCCAGCCACTCACCTAGTCACTCACCCACTCACTCACCTAGTCACTCACCTAGTCACTCACCTAGTCAATCACCCACTCACTCACCCACTCACTCACCTAGTCACTCACTCACCTAGTCACTCACCCACTCACTCACCTAGTCACTCACCCACTCACTCACCTAGTCACTCACCCACTCACTCACCTAACCACTCACCCACTCACTCACCCACTCACTCACCTAGTCACTCACCTAGTCACTCACTCACCTAATCACTCACTCACTCACCTAGTCACCCACCTAGTCACTCAATCACTCACTCACCTAGTCACTCACCCACTCACTCACCTAACCACTCACCCACTCACTCACCCACTCACTCACCTAGTCACTCACCTAGTCACTCACTCACCTAATCACTCACTCACTCACCTAGTCACCCACCTAGTCACTCAATCACTCACTCACCTAGTCACTCACCTAATCACTCACCCAGCCACTCACCCACTCACTCACCTAATCACTCACCCACTCACTCACCTAGTCACTCACCTAGTCACTCACCTAATCACTCACTCACCTAATCACTCACCCAGCCACTCACCTAGTCACTCACCCACTCACCTAGTCACTCACCCAGCCACTCACTGACCCAATCACTCACCTAATCACTCACTCACCCACTCACTCACCCAGCCATTCACTCACCCAATCACTCACCTAATCACTCACTCACCCAATCACTCACCCACTCACTCACCTAGTCAATCACCTAGTCACTCACCCAGCCACTCACTCACCCAATCACTCACCTAATCACTCACTCACCCAATCACTCACCCACTCAACCACTCACTCACCTAATCACTCACCTAATCACTCACTCAGCCACTCACCCACTCAGCCACTCACTCACCTAATCACTCACTCAGCCAATCACTCACCCACTCACTCAATCACTCACTCACCTAATCACTCACCCAGCCACTCACTCACCCAGCCACTCACCCACTCACTCACCTAATCACTCTCACCTAATCACTCACCCAGCCACTCACTCACCTAATCACTCACCCAGCCACTCACCTAATCACTCACCTAATCACTCACTCACCTACTCACTCACCTAATCACTCACCTAATCACTCACCTAATCACTCACTCACCTAATCACTCACCCACTCACTCACCCAATCACTCACCTAATCACTCACCTAATCACTCAGTCACCTAATCACTCACCTAATCACTCACTCACCTAATCACTCACTCACCTAATCACTCACCTAATCACTCACTCAGCCACTCACTCACCTAATCACTCACTCACCTAATCACTCACCCAGCCACTCAATCACTCACTCACCTAATCACTCTCACCTACTCACTCACCTAGTCACTCACCAAATCACTCACCTAATCACTCACTCACCTAATCACTCACCCAGCCACTCAATCACTCACTCACCTAATCACTCTCACCTACTCACTCACCTAGTCACTCACCAAATCACTCACCTAATCACTCACTCACCTAATCACTCACCCAGCCACTCAATCACTCACTCACCTAATCACTCACTCACCTACTCACTCACCCACTCACTCACCTAATCACTCACCTAATCACTCACTCACCTACTCACTCAGCGACTCACTCACCTAATCACTCACTCAGCCACTCACTCACCTAGTCACTCACCTAGTCACTCACCTAATCACTCACCTAATCACTCACTCACCTAATCACTCACCCAGCCACTCAATCACTCACTCACCTAATCACTCACGTAATCACTCACTCACCTAATCACTCACCCAGCCACTCAATCACTCACTCACCTAATCACTCACTCACCTACTCACTCACTCACCTACTCAATCAGCCACTCACTCACCTAATCACTCACCTAATCACTCACTCACCTAATCACTCACTCAGCCACTCACTCACCCAGCCACTCACCTAATCACTCACTCAGCCACTCACCCACTCAGCCACTCAATCACTCACTCACTCATTCACTTAATCACTCACCTAATCACTCACTCACCTAATCACTCACTCAACTACTCAATCACTCATTCACCTAATCACTCACCTAATCACTCACCTACTCACTCAGCCACTCACTCACCTAATCACTCACTCAGCCACTCACTCAGCCACTCAATCACTCACCTAATCATTAACTCACCTGCTCACTCAGCCACTCACTAACTCACCTGCTCACTCACCTAATCACTCACTCACTCAGCCACTCACTCACTCAGCCACTCACTCATCTAATCACTCACTCACTCAGCCACTCACCCACTCACTCAGCCACTCACCCACTCACTCAGCCACTCACTCACTCAGCCACTCAATCACTCACCTAATCAATCACTCAGCCACTCACTCACCCAGCCACTCACCCACTCACTCACCTAATCACTCACCTAATCACTCACTCGCCTAATCACTCACCCAGCCACTCACCTAATCACTCACCTAATCACTCACTCACCTACTCACTCAGCCACTCACTCACCTAATCACTCACTCACCTAATCACTAACTCACTCAGCCACTCACCCACTCACTCACCTAATCACTCACTCACCTAATCACTCACCCAGCCACTCAATCACTCACTCACCTAATCACTCACCTAATCACTCACTCACCTACTCACTCAGCCACTCACTCACCTAATCACTCACTCAGCCACTCACTCACCCAGCCACTCACCTAATCACTCACTCAGCCACTCACCCACTCAGCCACTCAATCACTCACTCAGCCACTCACTCACTC